TTTGGAATGAGTCAGGCTTGACATTTCACGTTGAGAAAGCTCAGGATGTGTAGAACCAAGTTAAGACTATATTGGAAGGATGATTTTGGGAAGGAGAAATCAGATTTTTAAATTGACATGCAGTGCTAAAACTGGGAACAGTTTGCCTGGATTAAAAATAACTAATACAGAAAAAATATGAACGTATCTGGGAGGAAGAAATCAGTGTAGAAATGTGTGCTAAATGCTGCAAGCATCCTATGCAGTAAAAAAGAAAAGGGACAAATACTGCTAATCCAAAATCATCATGGAAAAAATCAGTTAATAAGTTAGTTAAGCAGGAGCTGGAGGTGAAAGAAGTATTACTTTTAGATATCAGACCTCACTCCTTCCAGACTGAATTCCTGTCTGTTGAAAGGGTTGGCACATCACAAAATGGGTACGATTGCCATGGAGATGATTGGGAGAACTTTGCCTATGTTTTAGATTTTCCGTTTGGCCTCTGCGTAGCTCTTATTTTCCACGCTTCCATAAAAAGAGAGGATAATCTGAATGCTAGTAATGTAGCATATATTAATTTTAAGTATCTTCATCTAGGATGATTTGTATTCTTTCTATTACTCTTCATACTGTGAACCGAGTGTTCTCCACAGTCACACAGTGAAGCTGCAGTAGGATCGGGACGTGGCCTCTGCTTATTAGCGTTTAGACCAGTGCCCGTTGGTTGGTCCTTCTTGTCTTGATGTTTTGTTGTTGTTGTTTTGGTTTTTTGTTTTTGTTGTTGTTTTTGTAGCAGCTATGTACACTGCATTTTTATCTAAGGACTGGGAAAATTATTTGTATAAACATATGTATAGAATCATAGGGGTTGGAAGGGACCCCTGCAGGTCATCTAGTCCAACTCCCTGCTAAAGCAGGTTCCCTAGAGTAGTTGCACAGAAAAGCATCTGGGTAGGGTTTGAATATCCCCCCAGAGAAGGAGATTCTACAGCCACTTTGGGCAGCCTGTTTCAGTACATATCCAGTACTGCATTTTGTAGTGTTTTTGTTTACTGTTCAGGGGAAAGACTTAATGAAAAAACACACAAGTAATTCTGTTGCCTTAAATGCCATTTGTTTACTTGTTGTTACTCACACATGGAATGCAAGGGACAGTGATGGTCTCTGCAGTCAAGATACAGAAATTATTCTCTCCTGAAATATACCAGGTATACAAGTCTTGGTAAAATGCAAGAATGAGAGAGCTGTTCCTTTTCTTTATGCTATTGAGAAAAATGGTGCCGGAGAGAAGGAGGAGAAAGGTCCCCTTGGACCTACGGAAGCTGAAGATTTTCCTTCCATTTCTGAAATATCATTAGGCTGATTACTGAGATGAGCAGCACTTGTGCAGAAGGATGGAGGAAGGAAGAATTGCTTTTCTGAGCTGCCAGTACCGAAAAACACAGAATCTGTATTTATTGCCAAATTCCAGAAGGATTCTATCAAAAGAAAACCACAGAAGCATAAAGATAAATGCCTGTTGTGCTCAGCGGCGTATCTGACTCGCATTTCTTCTGAGGATAGAGCACTAGCCCATTATATCAAATATTTAGTCACTGCTGAATTCTTCATCGTTCTGACCCTTGCACCTATGTACCCACTCTAAGAGCATTTTCATTCAGCTGAGAATGTGAATGCTGCTCCCTGCAATTTTTGGAGTAGTGGGTTTTCCTCATCCAGGTCATCATCAAAAGTGGGGAATGTAACAAGTAGAAATGGTTGCTAGCAGCAAGGGCCCAGATGAAGCTGATGAAGGCAAGGTATTGGTAGGGAAGGTCTCCTTTTGTATAACCAAATGAGCAGCTGTCTTATTTGCTATCCCAGCTTCTATGGAAGCCAGAAATAAGAGCCTTTGTTTGTGATCAGCAGGTTCAGGGAGTCTTCCCAAAACTGGAGAGTTCAGCTTGCGGGAGTATTTTCTGTTTATGTTCTTGCAAGAGATTGAGCATTTGAATGTAGGTCATTCCAAAATTAATGCCTCATTTATTTCCATGGCAAATAGAATAGATACAAAGAGCACCACAATGCTGTTTAATAGAGCAAATTCTCAGCTACAAAACCCTATTTTTCAACACAGTTGCTACCATTTACTAATCTGCACCAGCAGAGGTGACTCTCTGTTTGAACAGCTTTTGTGACAGCTTCGTTGTTAGGAAAATCTTTCCCACAGTCTTGTCTTTCATCAGCCCAAACTGATGAAGTCAAAAGGTGCCAATTTGAGACTACAGTGAGTATGGTAAGACAATCGATTGATGATGTACTCCATGTCCTTCAAACTGTTATGGGGCCTGGCATTAAGTCACAAGAGATGAGTTGTCTTCTCTGGCCTGACTCTGGAACGTTGAGTCTTCAGCTTAGTCAGTGTTGCGATGTAGCAGAGTTAATGGTTTGTCAGGATTACAGAAAATCCAGACAGATCACGCCTTTCCCATTCCAAAAGACAGTGCACATCACTTTATCCACTGAGGGCTGCGTCTTCAACTTTGATGGGGAATCCATATTTACCACTCCATAGAACTGCCATTTTAACTCCAGCTCATGGTGACACCACATCTTGTTGCTGGAAATGATGCAATCCAGGAAACTGTCACCTTCAGCCTGATGTTGGTTCAATAGGTCCTGACCTATTTGCATACTGTGTTCTTTCTGTTCCTTTGTGAGCATTTGTGATATTCCAATGTTTCCACCATTGTTTCCAACACATTAAAACTGATATTCAGCTCTGTACATGGTTGCCTGGCTATAATCCTCTGATTTGCCCAGATGAACTGATTGAGATGCTCTTCATTTAATGGTGTGACAGCTGTGCATGGCCATCTGGAACACAGCTCATCTTTCACATCACTGTTGCCACTGCTGAAACGCAGCACCCACTGCTTCACTGTGCTCACATTTACTGTTTGATCTCTGTAAATGTTCAGCAGGCATACATGAATGGTGATGGCCATTTTTTCTGCATGGAGGAATTCAGTGGCACAGCTTTGCTTCATGTTCCAACTCTACCCCTCTGTTGTCATCTGTCACATGACAACAAAATGTAGAATATTGGTGGGAAGATTCCATCTTTGAAGCCATCCCACCAACTTCTGCCTATGATTTTGTGTTCCAACATAATAAAATAGGAGACATTAGCTTTGGAGCAGCCCTTACAAATCACATATATATGCTGGATTCTGCTTTTTCCTCGAGTCTGGAAATATGCAGTAATTTTACTGAAATTATTAGATTTGGGAAAAAAATAAATAAATCAGATAAATACAGAATGTTCAGGTTACCTAGGCCTGGATGTTTAATTATTCCAGAAGAAAGAATACAGTTAGTGTGACTCACCAGAAAAACCTATGTGTTCTTCATCTTTATAAATTGCATTAGAATTGTTTTTTAGTTTTTTTTCGTTGCATTTCTCATGAGACCTGTGGGAGTCATCGAGCTGACTCCTTATTGTTGTCACAACTTTGATAAACTTGAATTCAAGATTGGGTGATGTTTCATAAGCATACTGAGAGTTTGTTAATTACAGATGAAGGAACTGTACTTCAGTATGCTGAAAATTTTCTTTCATTGTAGTAAAGTGGTTACTTATTGGATCAGCTGCTCACATTTCTGTTTTATCTAAAGAGGCCACAGTGATCTGAAACCAGTCTGAAGAAATAGATGAGTGTTTTTGTGACAAACTGAATTTTGCCCGTTACACATAACTGCAGAATTATTTTGTTATTTGTGCCACATTATTTATGGGAAACACTTCCTTGCTCTGTATGTCATAATTTAGCTGAAAGTCATCTGCATAGACCTAATAATATTTAAGTAAGGCCATTAATTTGCATTCTTCTTGTTGACAACAAAATGTGTATATGAGCCAAAGCCATTTTCCTTAAACTGTTTTATTGTGTGTTCTTTGTTTTGTGCGGTGCTGTGTGTAGAACTGTTCAGATCTGTAGTAATACTTGGCAAATTTTATAATTTCTTCTTAGTAAAAAGTTTAGGAAGACCTAGGTGGTTGTCTGATTTGACAACAATATTTCTTGAGTTTGTGTAATTTCTTGAGTTTGTTCAAGGCTTTAATTTGCTGGTTGTCGTTCCTGATTATCCAAGTGTTACATACCTTATGTATCAATAATATTTGCTACTTTTCATATAGAAGAGAGAAAATACCTTTCTTTTAAGTTCTGCAGTGAATGAATGTTGAAATATAGTGATTCTTCTATGCCACTTTCAATCATACGTGTTCTACTTGCACTAAAGCTTCAACATCATTGACTTAATACATGTTTACAGTTTGTAGTTGGTATTAGAGCTGAATAGAATAACTGTCATAAGTAAATTAGGAGTCACATTTTCTTCCACAGGTAAATACATGTCTTAAAGGGAATATTTTACATTCACTATCTACATTTTTGTTTTCTTATTTGTGAGCCCTTTTAATTTTCCCTAAGTGTAACATGTATGAGCTATAGACAAAATAATTAAAGTCAGACAGTAAATTTAGTTAGCAAACTATGAATCAAACACTGTAGAGTACTTTCTGGCAAAGCATTCCTTCAGCGTGGGCTTGAGCTCTGCTGTGAATGTTTTCTCTGTGTTCCAAAATCTAGAGTCCACCTTTGTGAAATGCTGAATGTCAGTGAGAGCTATGAGGGGAAGTGCTGAGCATCTTCCAGGATTGGCCCTTACTTTCATTCCCATCCTGTGTGTTATGCAGTTTGTTTTTCTTGAACTAATACCTTTTTGTTTTTCTTCTCATCCTGAAAACTAGGCTATGTTATGTTGATTTCAAGCTCTCTTAGTGCAAATAAAGTAAAGAGGGTCATATGACCTATTTGCCTCATAAGAAGATTATCATACAGAACTTGGTTCACTTACGTTGTCTTTTGTTTTGGTTTGTTTCCTTAAGATGAGATAGACTACTCTGTAATGTTAGTATATTTTATTTGCTGTAATCTGATGTACCATTTCTCTCCCCTTTTTCTCCTCCCCCTAAGATTATCGTTGGAGAAACCGCAGTGTTTTGTCTACAGTTAGCTACAAAGGATTTTGAAAATCAAGAAAAAACAATATTAACTGGAGACTGTTGTTATATAAATCCACTGGTGCGCAGAACCATCAGATTCCTTGGTATGAGCAAAATTAATGTTTTCATTTTCTGAATGCTGAAAGTGATTAAATATGTCTTAAGTTTGACCTGGAGAAACTATTCAGATAACACTGCAATGTTTCATGTATAGTCCTAACTTGGGTGCAATGAATTCTTTCCTTTTGGACAGCGAATTAAATGTCTTGGAAGAAACAAAAATCACTTTGCAGAAACAGTACTAAGAATGGAAAAACTTGAGATCACAAGAGAGGGGAAAAAAAAAAAAACAACCAGCATGCCTTGACTAGTGGGAGATGGAGAGGGGAAGTATCTTTACACCAAATATATGGTTAACAGTTCTCTTTTGGCTGTGCACACATACAGCAGCCAAAGCTGAGGACATCAGTGTATAATTGTGTGTTTTCAAAGCCTGCCTAGTTTAGGTACTTTCATAGCCTGGAGCATGTATTATAATCTATAATAGATAACTGTATGAAAACCACTGAGGTCAGCTGTAAAACCCACCTCCCCTGACTTCACTAAATTTGAGATGTTGTGCTTTCTACTTATTTCATAGTAAATGTATTTTGGAGGGGGAAGTACCACCTCTCAGAATGTCTGCTAAATACTCACAGATGCTGCTTTTTAGTATGTGCAAGGATGTTGCAGCCAGACTCCATTTGTCTGCTGTGTGTTTCTCCCTGTTGGCTGTATCTGAGGGCAGCAGCTGGGGAGCAAAGCTGCAGGGCAGCTCATCCCGTGTGCCCCCGTGCAGGGGAGGGAGGGCTGCAGCTGGGTCTGTGCGTGCTGTGCGTGTGCCATAGCCGTGATGCTGTCTGCCAGTGCAGTAGCTTACTGTCACATGGGAGTTCTGGAGTCACTGAGTGGGAAACTGCCCTGCATAGAGCTGGAGTTATGTGGGCAGTCATACTGAAGAGCTCCTCCTGCTCCTATTTCTCTGTACAGGGCTTGTGTGTGGCCAGAGTCCACCTGGTGGACTCTCCTTGCTCACAGAAGTGAAGCTAGGTTAGAGCAGGGATGAGTAGGGCTTCTGCACTGTTGCACCAGCTGAGGTGTCGCTTCATGTTACTCTCACAGAACTGATGTGGCTGCCTGTTGTGGGTCTGCATACACTTTGGGGCTTGCTGGAGGGCCATCCTGCACAGCACTTGGGCTGGGTACAGGCCAGTGCTCATTACTGTTGAGCTACTTATGGTGAATCAACCAGTGTGACATTGCTGACCAGACAGAATCCCAGGAACCATTCTTGGGCCTCCAGCTTTGCAGAGGGAAAAAAACTGGCCTTGAAAGATGCACGTGCTTCTGCGGTATCACATCTGCTGTGGTGTGCATCCATTAATGTCCTCATCCTCATGGTGCTACAGGAATTGGGAGCTGACAGAATTCACATTATACTCACAGCTAGCTGTAGAGTTGAACTAGGGAAAAGGTAAACTGATCTGCCTATGGAATCCAGGAATCCTGTAGCTAAGGTGGAGTTTGAATGTGTCTGCTGATTTGGCGTCCCAGTCACGGTGGTTGCTGTGGTTGTATTTTCTTCCAGAGTTTGCTTTCTGCTTCCAAAAAAATAGAAAGAGACATCAAAATAGGATGTATCTAATTTTGCTTTCTTTTTCCACTAATCAGATAAATGCATTTTTATTCTTATGAACAAATGCACATGCTTAATGCTTTGCTGGTATGTCTTATAAAAAAAAAGAGCGTTAGTATAAGTAGCTCCTTGAATTTATATTCAATCTTTAACTCACTGTGTTGATATTATGATTAACATGTCGTGCATAGAGATGCACCCAGTAGCAGACAGATAAAGACAACTTGTGCATGGCAATATTAAATTATTCAGTACTCAAACTTACAGCTGAGAGAGAAAGGAAAATGTTTGTCCGGTATGTGCAATGACTTTTCAAGTTACTTCACCATTCAGTGCTTGACTTCTCTGGCTTTGAAACAGGGCTACAGGGTGGAGAATTTGCCTCTGTTATTTCTGTTAGGTGAACATGGACAAAGGCTAGATGCTTGGCTAACTGCCCCAGATAGCTGGGCATGCATGGCTAGGGGACCAGGAAAGCAGGCTTTTTCATGAAAGGTGAGTGTACTCCTCTGAAGAATGGAGACAGAATCAAGAGTGTGGGTGTATTGCAGTGTTGCTTCTGCCATTGGATAGGAAGATATCATCTCCAAAATCATCAAGGTTCCTTAGGGTATAGTCTCGTCTTGTGCTTGAGGATCGCTCACATTCTTAAATGGAGGGTGCTAATTTATTACTGTGATAAATATTATAATATGTTGTCCTGGACTGAAATTGTCAGGAAATTTAACTCTTTGTTTCCCTCTTTAGGAATTTACGCGTTTGGACTGTTTGCTACGGACATCTTTGTAAATGCTGGACAAGTAGTAACAGGGAATCTTGCACCACATTTTCTTGCACTTTGTAAACCCAACTATACAGCACTTGGATGTAAACAGTACACACAGTTCATCAGTAGTGCACATGCCTGTACTGGAAACCCAGACCTTATCATGAAAGCCAGAAAGACATTCCCATCCAAAGAAGCAGCTCTAAGCATATATGCAGCTATGTATCTGGCTGTAAGTATATTGTACTGTTTAATACCACTGTATTTTTGAGAGAATATTGACTCAAACTATTTGGAAGGGGAAGAATGAAGGGAAGGTAAGACAGCTATTGACCAATTTTATGTATATAATCCTTCTATGTGTTACTGTGAAAGCTTTGAGAATTTGGTTCATTGGACTTAATTCTGACAATTACATGTATGCTTATCTTTGCAGATGTAGTAAGCCTTAAAAGCTTAAAAAAAAAAAAAAAAAGTTTAGGGCCGTGCTGAGAGAGGATAAATTGTTCAGGAACGGTTATAAACTTAGGATAACCAAGTTTTCAGTTTATTTTTCCCTGTTTCCAGGGAGAAGGAGAAGGCTCTGTTGTGTGGCAAAGGGAAGGAGGAAAGGACTGTCTGTAACCAACTGGTAGTAGTCTCTTCCTCTGTTTTAACCCAGTTCAAATTAGTGGAATTGCATGTGGCAGTATTTTTTGGTGGGGTAAAGCTGAAGACTGGGCATATGCAAATGTGTGGTCTCTACAAGTTTCCTGAGGAACCATGTATATCCACAGATACCAGAACTGATATCTATAGGTACTGTAGTTCTCTTGCAGTGAGTTTGGCTCTGATTCTGCATTAAAGTGGGCTACAAGACAATCCAACCTTTCTTCCCCCTCTTCTTTGTCACACTGACTGATGAGTAGGGCTGGGATAAACTGCTGTTTGCTGGGTGGCATGAGAGCTGCTGCTGAGGTAGTTCAGAAGTGAGAGCAGTAGGAATGAACCTTGCTCAGGTAGCTCAGTGCAGTGTTCTCTGGCTTAGTCTGGAGTGCAGGTTGTTCCATCTGCAAGCAGCAGCACGTGTTCATCACCAAATTTCCTTGGGGCACCCTTGTGGAAATCTTCCAGTTGACCTGGGCCTGCATCCACAGGTCTTTATAGCCCACTGGAAGGGCCCAAGGTTTCCCTCATGGTGTCAGTGGGGAGTAGGGCAAGTGTGTGCCTCTGGTAATTTCAGGATTCAGCCCTTCAAATCCTTCAGTGTGTGAATAGTGGTGTGTGTGTGTCTGCATATGTATGTAGACACATGTGAGTGTTCATCAGTTTTTAACATACATATTTAATGAGCTGACTTTTAATCTTTGTTTGATCTGGAAACTGATACATGCCAGCTGATACTTGATATGTGGCAGTGCACCAACGCCATGCTTCTGGGTATGGTTTCAGTGCCAGTGCTTAAAATCTCCATCCCTGATAGTAGTGTTTACTTTAAGTTCCTTGTGGGCAATGCTTCCTTGGAGATTTAGATTAACAATTAGCTCAGGAAGGTGTTAGCTGCAAATTAGAGACGAGCAATACTATTCTGTTCTAACTTGTGGTAAATGTAAGACTGCTAATAGCATCATCTTTATTTGGGAGATATTTGAGGCTTTGCTTTGCTGAACTGTACATCCAAATTTGGTGCAAACTATTTTAGAAAATGTTCAGCATTCTACATTTTAATTGTTCCTATTTTTCTCATCCATCTGTAAAGTTGGATTTCCACTGTTGCCATGAGTCACAGAAAACTGAAGGAAGCCAACTGTTCAGCACTGCAGAGCAGAAAGGAAAACAGTATTGACACATTTTAAAAAGAACAAGTAGGCAATTACTAAGACTTAATACCTAGTGTCGTGGCTTTTGTTACAGCTACAGTGCTTTATGCAAAACTTACGTTGTCTGTGATCAATAATCAGTTAACATCAAAACTGGAAGCTGGTGTGATCTGTTTCATGACTTTATAGTCTTTCAGTAACAGCAGAAAAGGATATATCCTGTGTCATTAGTGTATCACTGTGATGCATGACAGTGTCATCATTTAACTAAAGCACTGTAAACTGCTGACAGGACTGATGAGTTGTTCTTGTAGGCTGCCTGAAGAACTAATTACTGTGATGTATCTGCTGACTGCTAGCCTACACATTTAGGTCCTTGATGCAATATTGGCAGTCTTTTTTTGTGTTGTTTTTTTTTTTTCAAATCCAGTTGCACTGTTGCTGCTAAAAATATTGTTTGTTACACACCAGGCAGAGAAATGCAATGTTCCAGTATCTAGGGTCATGTCCTTACAGTGTCGTGATGTTTATTGGGAAAGTTGGCTCTGAATAACAACTTTCTCATCATTATTCACTGAAGTAGAATGTTTAAACAGTAGCCCAGTCTTTGTATGAGCACTGGTACAAAAGTTATTGAGAGCATGGACATAAAGACCTTCATATACTACTCAGCTAGTACTTCATAAGCATATAATTTCTGATACAAAGTGTGCTTTCATTTTGTTTAACAGAAATGTTTGGGTGAGAGGGTGAGATTTTTACAGAATCTTTCTTGGACATTTCAGCCAGATGTGCACACACCAAAACCAGCTTAAAGATACAAATAGACAATGTGCGCCCAGCATCTTGTTAGCAACAGCTTTTTCATCTAAGTTCTTAAGCCTTCCTTTTTCACTCCTCCCCTCTTTTGTGAGTGGGTGGCTGCTATGGTAACTCTGAATTCCCTTCCCGCTGGAAGTACAGGCTTTTGCGAACAATTATACTGCTAATATTTAGACCTCTCTAGCATTTGCTTCCATTGCTTTTCTGAGTACCTATCAAGAAAGACTTAACAACTGAAATGTTAAATGGCAGCAATGTGCTTAGGTTTTTTTTTCTACCCTATCCAAATGTGAATGCTTCCAATGATTCATAACTTATTTTCTTAAGACTTGCAGGTTAATTTATCCCTTGCATACCTGAAACTTCAAAATGAACTACCATAAATATGTTTCAAAATCTCTACCCAAAATGGCTGATATCTGGATATCTCCTTAGCTGATTATTCAGCTAATCTTAAATCTCCTTTGTGTGTGAATGAGCTAGAGTTGGATTACTAAGTTGAGTGCAATCAGCATTCACTTCTTATCAGCATTGCAGTTTCTCAGTTGGTACAGCATCTGCTGACATGCATATTAAGGCAGATACTCCAAATTCATTAAATTGATATAACTGTATAAGCTACGTTTCAAGATGCATAAGCTAACATAGCCTGGATGATTAGAGATACATTTTGAATTTATGAAATTGTGTATATATTTGCATGAATGGTTTTGTTTGTCTTTTCCCCAATAACCAACACTCAGAAATGAGAAGTCATGAGTCTTTCTACTGGTAGGATTTCAAAGTGATCTGTGAAGATGTAGTCAATCTATTCCCATGGATTCAATATGAGACTAGTGACTAACAGTTGTCCTTTGATGTTACAAATATAGGGGATTGTTCATTGCTAGCTGTAGTTTAAAATAAATTCTAATTAATCATACAAAACTTTGCATTTTCTTGCTGCGTTGGATAAGAAGAATTGACAGCTGACCTATCTGAAGCACAGCTTTTGAACTTGGTTCTATCAGATACATTTTAGACTTGCTTTAGATTTGTAATGATAGAGGAGAAGGTTTTATGTTTTGATAATTAACATAGTCCTTAGATGTGCAGGCTGCAATTACAACCTCAGGCAGGGCTAGCAAATACAGCTGACAAATAATACCTCCCTATATGCAGAGCTTTTGTTGAGATCTTGATCTTCTGCTTGGCAAGGTTCTATCTTCTAGCATGCTGCTGTATCACCCTTGCTGTTCAGTGTGTTTCTAAGTCACTGGGAAAAGACATCAAGGCATTCTGGGTCACAGTGTTGGTAACATGCCACTGCCTAGTGTCACTCCTTGATCTGGTCTTTGAGTCTTGAGGTTTCATGTAATCTGTGAAGACCTTGTTCTTGAAGCTTCTTTATGGGTCCCACTCAGTGGGTAGGTGACTGTGGTGTGGTGAGTCTCTCTTGATAGGCTTTGAGTGTTGAGATTTGAGAGAATCATCATATAGAATTTGCTTTGTTGTTTTTTTGTTTTTTTGTTTTAATAAGTTAAAGATTAAAGAATTCTTTTGGCTGCTTTTCGAGGATTTTCTTTTCACTGTGTCTCAGTGAGCAAAAGTATCCACTGACACTGATTGTACAGCATATATAATGGTCTTCATCTAATGGATGCATTGATTGCTTCAGATTGGATAGCAAATAAACATTAAAATTTTGTTCCAGAGATTTACCTAAAGACCACTGGAGATTTCTTGTCAGTCAGTTCTTTGTAACAATTCAGTTGCTCAAGATAAGATAATAACCTCTGTAGCCTGAATCAGTTCTTGGTAATAGTTTGATGATCTTACGGTCTTGATACATCAGAGAATCTCTGTCTCCTCCAGTTGTTTCAAGTTGCATCTGTAAAAAACTCTTTGTGGGACAATTTACAGTGAATTCCAGCATTTCTAAAAGTTTTTTTTCCTTTTTCCAATCCACAGTCTTGACTTTGAAACCCAAGTTTGCTTGATGTTATCAATAGTTACTGCAAAACATAGGAAAGAAAAAGGAGAAAGCCTCAAAAGAACAACAAATAAATCATCAGTGAGCATTTTTGGTTGCAGTATGGCTCAAATAAAATGAGAATAGGACTGTTCTTTGCTCTGGTAATAATTTGACCCAATAGTTACTAATCAAGGGACCTGAAGAGCTTTTACAATGTCAGGCAGGATTCTGACTAAAGATTTAACTTGCTTGTAATCTGCAGTCAACTATACCTCCTACTTTTTCATCGTTTTGATCTCTGAATATCTCTTTTCCTGTACCTATGATGAGGAATGTTGAAATCTGTGCACTTCTAAGGTGGAAGGTGTATAAGTTACGACTTATATTTCTTGCTACTAAATTATACAAGCAAAACAAAACTTGGAAATGTATATTTGGAGCTCTGCCTGGGAGGAATCAGTATACAGGCACCAATCTCCTTTCCACTTGCCACTTCATGAGTCATTGTTCTCTGCCCACTAACAGACTGGTTTGTCCCTTTGTCAGTTTCCCCCGACCATCTGCTTCATGGAGGACCAAAACAGCAAGCATGGAGGACATCTTCCTCCCCATACCCTGGGAACTCAGTCTAATGAACCAGATAGGAAAACTAACCTTCCTCCTAGTTGGTGTGTCCAGCCTGATGACTAGCTCCACTCTAACCAAGATGGGACTCCAGGACTTCCTGAATGTGTGCATGTATGTGCATTGCTTTTCCTCTAGAATCAAGAAGAAAACTTATATTACATTTCATTTTCAATGCAGTGCAGAACTTCAACTGAACTGACTGCATTAATATAGTACTTGAGCTGTAAGTTTAAAAATGGATGTCTGTAAGTCCTGACTTGCAGAATTCTGTTTCTTATGCAGAGCTTTTCAAGAGTATAGGCTACATTTTTCCAGAAGTTTTGCTGTACTTCTCTTGATCCTTTAGTGGAATGCTGTCCTTAATATCTCAATGACTGTTCTTTAAAGAAAAAATTAAAAAGTAATCTATGCTGTCAGAACCCTCTGATTATTGTTAATAATGAACTGAACATGGCAATCTTGACTATGTGTATAGGAAGGGACTTGGCACACGGGAGTCTTTGTTAGCAGCAGGAGTTTCTGCAGTTGTTTCTGCTTTCTGAGTGCTTTGTTTAAATAAGGATTTGAAGGATGATCTTGACTCTAAAAAATGGTTCAAAGATTTTTCTGCAGAGTACTCTTCAGTTTAGTTTTGTATTAAAAATGTTGAAGTTTGACTGAAATATTGAAGAATCAATTACTAGTGTTTGCATTGCAATGCATTTTAACTTCATAAAATTTAGCATCTTAGGTGATGACTAGTTGTTATAGATAACTGAGACACATTGCTACTACCTGCCTGAAATAAACTAACAATTTCTTATCAGTTGATTTTTCCTTCTCAGTATTCATTTTGATTTTGCTTACCCTAAAACAGGATTTCATGCAGGATAGCCTACTGCCACTGACAGTCACCTTCACCCAAACAGTATGTCAGACTTGATGATCTTGCTGCCTATTCAAAATGTTTTATTGAGCACCAGATGTTCTAACATATAGCATTAATGAGTGTAATGGTGGTAGTATCTGGAAGGACATTGGCACAGAAAGCTGCTGAGTAACTCAGCATAAGCTGCTCTGTAGCTTGAAAAAAAAAAAAAAAGTGGACTAAAACAGTGGAAGTGAGATTTGAAGTCATCTTGTCAGCATTCCATGTAACTCACTGAGAAGAGTTTGCTAAACTGTAAGGAGCAAAGGTAAAAGCAATGGGAGAGCAATGGGAGAAGTACTGTGTCTTAAATGAGCTAGTAAGAGGACAGGAGAAATATGTGTTGGAAATAAAGAATTAATCTCTCTTTTTAAAACCTTGCTCTGTCTGCACTACTGGAAAGCTGTTCATTACATGAGGTACATTGGTGATGTGTTGCAGTATGCTGCTGTGATTTTAAGTTACCTGGTTACACTGTGATTCTTTCTTTCTGCCATGAATATTTCTTTAGTGTTTTGAACAAAACAGCTGGCAGATGTTCTTTGCAGGCATGCTCTGACCGGTACTTCCTTCATTTCATTTGATTGATTTACTATGAGTGTAGCTAATCCTTCACTAAATTATTGCACTAATGCATAACTTGTTGCTGAGCAAATTCAGGTGAAATTTCAGACAGTACAAAGGGTTGCCTGTTAACCAAGGAGCTACCAGTTAGTGCAGACTCATCTGTTTCACCTTTCAAGCTCAAAATGGTGACACTACAGACTGTGAGTTTCAAGGGAAACCTCACAAAGAAACTTCAGTTCTTCATTTTTTAGAACGATAGTACTTTACCTAAACATGAAGCTTAAGGACTTCAGTGGGTTAGCTGCAGATGCTGTGGAATGTAAATACTAATTTTCCTCAAAAGCCTATTTAGTTGAAGTGCTATTTTTCTGGGTGGAATTTTAAAGCACCCTTAATGTCAATATTGAATATAATCAAGAGAATGGAAGTTCAGAGTTTTGAAATTCATTTCCTCCATTGGCCTGTCAGAGCTTGTGCACCTAACCGTGTGGCAGAAGAGCTGCTGCACCTCCATGCATTGCATTTAATCCAGTAGTACTTGTAGACCATAAGACTGCAAGCAGGGCAGAGGTAGAGATCTCAGTTTCTTGGAGGATGTATAAAAAACTCCTACACTAGGATTGGTTTTGGGTACTGTGGGGAATTGGTACTAAATATCCTCAGCCTCTGAGAAGTATGGGGATGTATTGGTCAAGCACTTGTTGAAAGTGCCACATTTCATTTTTAAAAGCAGATATTGACATCTAGTTCACTTTTCACTACATTTGGTAAGCCTCAAGCTAATCACATGGAGAAGCTACATGTGAGGAGGAAAGATATTTACTAATAAAACTAAGGGTCTGATGTAGCCCCTGTCAGGATAGGGTTTTTTCTATTACTGCCAACACTAGGCAGTGAAAAATTAGTCCCTCTATTTACATCTCTGCATAAATAAATAGCTTGATATGATAGGGTTGTCAAATAAATAAATAAATACAAACCCCAAGATGCATAGTCTATTTAAATCTCTAATATTTCTCTAATATTCTGTTCACCAGTTAGTGGGATGTATTATACATTGGTATTAAACTTGCTTCTTTTCTGATTTTCAGATGTACATCACCAGCACGGTAAAAGCCAGAGGAACAAGGCTTGCAAAACCTGTTCTGTGTTTGGGCCTAATGTGCTTGGCTTTCCTTACTGGAATCAACAGAGTAGCAGAGTATCGAAATCACTGGTCAGATGTAATAGCAGGATTTATAATTGGAATATCTATAGCAGTGTTTTTGGTAAGTGTGTATTTGTCACTTTATTTTTTGAAAAATATCAATATATTAGTTTGTATCTCCTAACCCATGTTGGTAGACTTGACTTTTCAAATGTCCATGAGGTGTTTCTGTTTTGTTTAATTATCAGTTTCCTTAGGTATATTTATGTACACTCAGAAATGTCGAATCCAAAAAAGAATTGATCAGATTATCTATTTTGATTCCCTTATAAACCAGACTGTAGAGGTTCATCCACTAATTTATTTTACATTAAGCCCCACATTAAACAAGTGCATATTTCTTAGAATAATAACTATTAATATTTTAAAGCATTACATGCAGTAGAGGGATGCCTACACTGATCAACGAATGAGTAGCGTTTATTTTCTGGCTTTAAAGTAGCCCCCTCTGATTTATTTATTTATTTATTTTCATAGTAATTCAAGTTTAAATTGAGATTCGATTTTATCCAGTCAAAAATTCTTGTTTAGTCTTCTCATTTTACTGGAGTTGTGTTCCAGTACTGAATCTGTAATCCTAGTTATTAATGACCAGTGTCTGTGTCAGAAGGCTGCCACTAATGTATTAATCACCTTCACCAATAACTTCAGTGTACAACTGCAGCATAATGTAGTCGTTGCTGTTTACTGTCTCTAAGTTTGTCTGCCTGGCAGCTTGTATTAGTACTAAAAATAACTGATTTTTTTCCCTGTGAAAATACTTTTGATATTGATTCTGGGATCTCAAGATCTTAAATCTCAAGCTTGCACAGGGATGGCTGAGGTGGACTTTTTCACTCATCTGATAAATGTGAAGGCAGCTTTAAGTCTCTTTTAAAACACACTTGCTTGTGTTTCCAAACGTTCCTTTCCACACAAGGTGTCCTGGTGTAGTGTTTGGTTGCGTGCTCTTAAGTTTTTTGTATTATGTTTTTGCCCTAAAGTCATGAAAGAAAAGAGAGTAGACGAGAAGTCTGTTCCAGAACTTTTTCTTATATTTTTTGGTGTGTGCTGCATAAACTTCTCTAAGTAGAATGGCATCAAATTTAGTTGTGTTTTAAAGACAATATAATTGGAAAAAACTGCCTTAGTTGAGTGTCTTAATTAGTAGAACCCCCTTCCCCTCCCCAAGCAAAAGAACATTGCATGCCACTTTCCTAAATGCCTGTGTGAGTCTCACTGCTATACTGCTGCTGGCCTGAGCAAGTTTAGTTTAGTTCAAACCTGGGCACAATCCTTGCCTTCTTGTCCTCCCTTTCTTACTCTGCTTGAGAAATTCTTTGCTGGTCAAAACTTACATGGCATTAGCTCTTTCTAGGAGCATAAGATCGTCACATATTTCATACATACCATGGACATCATTCCCTTATAAGGAAAGACTGAGTCCTGGGGCTGTTCAGCCTGCAGAAGAGAAGATTGAGTGGGGATCTTATTAATGCTGATAAATAACAAAAAGATGCAGTCAATTGGATAGGGCCAGGCTCTTTCTGGTGCTGCTTAGTGACAGGACGAGGATAATGGACCCAAACTGAAACAAGTCTTTACTCTGAGGGTGATGGAGCACTGGAACAGGTTGCCTAGAGAGGTTGTGGAGTTTTTTCTTTGGAGATATTCAAAACCCGCCTGGATGCCTACCTGTGTGACCTGCTGTAGGGAACTTGCAGGATGATTTCTAGAGGTCCTGTCCAGCCCCTGATTCTCTGCTTCTGTGGCACTGAAGATGATTAGTATTATATTGTTTAGATTGGATAATGGATTTGCTTTTAGATAAGAGAGCTTTCTTGTGCTTGGACAATGGATGTATAAAAAAACTGCTTGAAAATCTGTTGTTTTGTCATATTAATTGTTTCCTATAAAACATGAACTTCACATTTGTATATTTTTGCTGTAAGCAGTGACTAAAGCTAGTGTCAGTTCCGCCTAATTGTGGGTGTCAGGATCAAAGCTCAGTTGTTCCTTAGCAATTCTGTTTGTCTTCTAATCCCTTCTAGGTTGTTTGCGTGGTAAATAATTTCAGGGGACGTCAGCCAGAACATGAACATTCTCATACGGATAATCTGGCCCAGATGCCCATGATCAGCATACCTCGAGTAGAAAGCCCTTTAGAAAAGGTAATGTCTCACTTTCTTAAAAATGTTATAAAAAAATATGATTTTGTACTTCAGCATGCTAGCAGTAGTCTCTTGGGCATGAGTAACTACTGCCGTGTGATTAAATGTTTTGGTTTTGTTTCTACTAGTAAAAAAAAATGGCTTTGCAAAGATGATGCAAGTGTTAGGCAAGGTTCTGTCTAAATAATACTGAGAGCAAGCAGTCACTGAAAAAAGATAATATCCAAATAAAGAGAACATTTCAGGCATTTTTACCGGAAGTTAGAACTACAAGCAAAGTTTTAAAGCAGTGTTAATTTATGATCGCTTTCCATCATTACTTATTAAAATCTCTTTTGTTATACCCATGCTTGAAGACAGCAAACAATCCTAAACATTTTAGGTTACCAAAAGTGTGTTTCTATGGCATTCTTTTAAATTGGTGTTACTGCTGACATTTTCTCCTACCAATTGTAAGAATAAATGTTTTTAACCACTTCCTAGTCTGTGCTTGTCACTTGAAATGGGCAGAAGTTGTCTTTTACTGAAATTGCTGCCAGCAGTAGGTTTTTTATTTATTTGCTTGGGGGGAAAGATTTCTTTTCAGGATAATCCAACATGTCTTCTTGAACCAAATGTGTCTAAGCTACTTCTACTGATGTTTTGTCACAAGGAGGTCACAGTATCATTTGCTTGAACAAGAACAAGCATTTAGATGATGAATGTGTATCTTCAAAATAATCCATTCAGTAAACTCTCTGTAAAATGTCAGAACAAACAAGATGTCAGTTGGCTTAGGACATACCATATTAATAAGCATGTCTTATTTATGTGGCTTTCCTACAGTAAAAACCGTTTGTGTAGCTCAAAAGCCATCATAGATCAAAAGTGTACATTCTCTGCAAATTCTGCTTATAAGAGCTCTAGTGTTTGGCTGCTGAAATTTATTTTATTTTTATCCTGAGAATTAAAACCTCAGTGTTTCTACCTAATCTGACACTTTCTCATCCATGACAACCTGTTTTCTTTTCCAAATCCTAGGTCCAGGAAAGCTGAAATAATGTGGGGAAAGCAATGGGAGGGAGGCTGCAAAAATAACATTTGTGAACTTGCCAGAACTCTTATTATATGAATGGGAGTCTTTCCTTCTGAACTCTCTTGGCTCCTGTGATAGCGGAGGATAGCTCTTTGCTGTCATGGGACTTCTCACTTAAATCAGGGAGGGAAGTGCCAACAAGGTGTTATAGTTGATGAGATCTTAGTGTATAGATTCATCTTTCCTTCTGTTGCAAAGTCTTTGTTCTCTCCAGACTGAGAAGATGAAATGGGAGGATGAGTATGTGTAGTATTTCAGAAATGCTTTTCTTCTGTTTCCACCTACGGAAAGCTTGAACTGGAATTAGCAAATAATTGATGAAAACTCTGCTCTTATTTGAGTGCTGCAGGTGGTGAGATGTTTATTTGTTTAAATGTCTGGTCTAAAGGTTTGTACAGAAGCCAGAACCTATTAAATAAAAGGCACTAGGAATAATACTTATGTGGAAGTAGAGTCTAAACTGAGCCATCTCAATTAACTGCTGCCACTTCAAGAATTCATAAGTTGGTCTTTGCTTTTTAACTGTATTCTTATTTTTGTTCTTTATTTTCCTCTAGAGAGAGGCGCTGGATGATTTGTGTGCTACTTGTCTTTTACCTACTCTAACCATGTGCAAATTACTTTTTGCTGCTTCTCAGCTGGTGCTGTTCTAGTTATAGAGCCTGAATTCATAAACAGTTCTATTTGGCTTATTTTATATTTGTTTTTCTCTATTCTCAGTCTGAGAGCTTCTGTGCCAATATTAAAAACAGCCTTCATAAATTAGCTACTATTAGCTATATTAATACTATATTAGCCTATCATAAATTAGCTACTAAGAGTTAAGACTAACCAAAGTTAGGGCTGAAGTCACAGGCTAAAACAGTCTTGGGATGAAGCAGAGCTGCTCCTCTCTTACCAGTATTTAAAAATAACAATATGGGCATTTGGGAGTGAGCAATTCAAAGTTGCTGCCCTAAACAGTAACTTCATTAGAAATGCATACCAGATGGGACCTCTCTCTTTGCTATTTTGTTTGAAAATCACTTATAAATGAATAAGCACATGGTCCATCAAACAGACCTGGAAGCACCTCACTTTGTGTTTCAAGGTCTGCTACTCATCTGTTGCAGTGCTGTTTTCCTGCTGAAGAATGAATGTGCTTGGTATGCTCTCTATGCTATCACTGTCTGAGTTCTGGAGGAGGTCGGGAATCATCTGTGAAGTACGCTTAAGCGGAATATGTGTACTTGGAGCATTCTGAATTTTATATTCTGCTGGTTAATGACAAGAGTAGATCGCTGTTTGCATGCCACTTGTTCAATTGCAGTGTGTGCAGATGATTAAGTTGTTCTGCAGAGGTACCCACATCTTATGCACTCAAATAAAACAAAGTTGCAGAGTGTCTCCTGGAAGTACCTTGGCAGAGCTGGCTCAGCAGTGCAGACTTCAGACTTATTACTTTCACCTTAACTACATTCATCCTTAGAATTAATGAAAAGAGTGAAAGCCAAGAAACCTCATCACTCACCCATCTGTTCCTTTTTCTCTTCTGTCTCTGACCTTCATCATCTCTTATAAGGCAATTTGTGTTTCAGTCAGCTGGCACTCTGCTGCAGATGGGAGGCCCACTTGCAACCACAGTCAAGGCAGTCAAGGTTTTTGTTTTTTCTTTCTTTCTTTACTTTTTTTTTTTTTTTTTTCTGTTGCAAGAGTTCCTGGGAAATAAGAATATTCTGGGTGGCACTCAGAAAAGTTTGAAGTTCAACCAATACAGTCACAGACTTTTTTCCTCTTTTGAGGGGGAGTCACACTTATTTCATGCTTGAAGTCACCTGAAATTGGGCAGGATTTACAGAGGGCTGGTACATGTCTTGTAGTGGCTGCTGACCCTGCTAGACTATTTATGGAGATATTGTAGCTTTGAAAAATCAAATACAAAGGAAATATGGAGCATTTGAGGAAGAACTGATGCAGTAGATGAAATAGATTATAGAGGTTTTAGAAGAAAGTGTTGAATTAGGATAGGCACTGTAGTTCATCTCCTATGGGATGTTTTCTATGTCTGATCACCAGGGCTCTGTATCTGCTCAGTATTATTTGCACACTGCTCTGTTTAGCTGTTGAGCAGAATTCATCTCCAGAGCCTCTGCCTGGCATTCCTTTGCATTGTTTCTTCTATTGGCAATGTCCAAGCCATGTCCCCAAATGCAGTTCTTTGTTGCAGTGAGGTTGCTTGTGTTTCAACGGTGGGACTGGCTCTCTAGCTGACTGAGACTGCAAACAGGTAGTTTGCAGTCTTTACCTTCACAGATTGGTCAGCTGTGGTAGTGGTGGTTTAGTTTGCCCTTTTTTTTTTTCTTTTTTTTTCTTTTTTTCCCATTTTTCTGAAGCATGGTTTCAGGTTTTAATGATGGTGAGTATTTGGAATTTCTTTCTTGATGGCTCTCATACCAATAACCAGTAACTGCTAGGGCTAATTGTTTCAGAAGTCTTGTTGAGTTTGACATTTGTTCTGTTGTGTACTGCTTAAGGTAATGGTGGAAATGAAACATTTTAGCAATAGCAAATATAGATATAGACATGCATTTCTCTTAAATTTCTGATTGTGTTTTAAGACTGAGGAAGATTTTTCCCTTCTGTGTTTAAAAACAATGTTTTTTTTCTGTTTACTCCTCCTTGATTTATCATGAGATACAGAGGTCTTCAGCACTGTGGTACTAAGGAGTCTGTCAGTGGTGCACTGTGTGCACAGGATGGCTGATCCCCGAGCCAGGTCCCCGGGCTCTCTGGTGAGGCTGATGCCTTGTCACCAAGCTTGCAGGCTGAATGCAAAACGCAAAGATGTTTTAGGTCATTGTGCTAGGAGAGAACTGGGGAGAAGACTTGTGTCTAATTCTGCTGATCTGAGATATTTTAGTTCAGAAGTATCCAAATACTGTTGTGTTGACATCCACAAGAGTACACAGATTTCCATACCGGTTGTGTTTTAGTATGTGTGTGTGTTTCCAGCACAGCTTGACTAGAGCCCATGTGCTGACATGAGCTTGTGGGCTGATTTTCTGATTTCTGTGGTCATATTGGTTCTCTTTAACAATAGAGTGTGTTAAAGGAGACAATGTTATGCTTCAACACAAAAAGACTCTAAGCAATTTTGTTCCAGTGTTAAACACTTCAATTGGCATTCATGTCCTATTCTTCTGATTCAATCTATTTATATTAGGGGATTATAAAAGAAATTTTTGTTTTTGTTTGCATTTTGGTTTTTTTTGCATTTGTTTTTGAATGCAAACTGTGATCACAATATCTAACTTTCAAATAGAATTGTATTTAAACATAGAAAAAGGAACAATATATTCAGAGTGACCCCTCCAATATGCATGTTGTAGGTGTTAAAGAATCAAAGTGTTAGTAACAACCAAGAAGATCCCTTGCAACAAAGCTCCTTCAAAGCACACCTCATTAGATTCTTCTCCTGGATGTCAGGAATGGACTGTTTAGACCACCTGCACATAAGGCAATAAACGTGTGTGCGAAGGAGCGCACTGAAGTGTTTGTGTCTGGACTTAAACCAGAGGCAGATGCAGTGTGCTGGCAGCGTTCTGTGCAGGTCTGCAATCTTTTAAAAGAGGACCTTCACTTTGAATTCACTGTTTTCTCTAAAAGTGTGACTTGTTCAGCAAAAGCATAAAATATGCTTTACTGAGCAGGAAGATCTTTGCAGTAACTAATCAATAGTTACTTTTTGCCAGAAGTACTACTGTACAATTTTTTGAGTTAATAAACACCATTGTATGAAAGACTATAGGCAATTTTTCAAAATCCTGTTTTTGAAATTGGAAAAATCTTAAAGATGATGACTGTTACAAATATTTATAATTGTATTAATGAGTGCACAACAGGAAAAAAAAAAAAACAGATTAAAAATATTAAATATGTACTATGAAAGTTGCAAACCAGTAAGAAACTCACTATGGGGTTTTTTTTCAATTCTTTAACATTTTAGAATAGCTTGTAAATAGAAATTAATTAAAATCTTAACAGAAGATATACGGATATGGATAATCTTCCCCCAGAAACCTGCACTTAAGGCTTAGCATTTTAGACTTTCATTTTTCTACTAGTGATGTGGGAGCATGGTTATGAAGCATGCTTTGTTTGCAGTGCTGACACCAAGCTCATGCTGTCGGTTTAGAACAAACGATACGAAATCTGACATGTCTGTCTGTGAAACTGTGTTTGCTAAGCAGACCCTCAGCAGGCTCTTCTTCTGAGTGCTGTAGGTTACCACAGAGTTGAGAACCCAATGTCTTGTGCCTGCTTTTTGGCTTGTTTCTTGCACCTGTGTGAATCTTCAGCTGGTGATGGTTAGTATCTCACACTGAAATTTTTCAAAGAAGGATATTTTGTTGGTGTTTTATTTTGTTGTTGGTTTTTTTTTTTGTGTGTGTGTGTGAATTGTCTCAGAAAAGCTTGTTTATGGTTTTGTGTAAGCATATGAAAAGGCACAAATACCCAGACAGTTTCATGAATCAGTATCAGTGATTCTCACCATTAGAAAGTCATTACTTTTGACCTAGTTATGCTTCATCTTGCTTAATCCCTTGGAAATGAATCCACGAGTCTTCACTAGAGTCCAAATCAATTGCTCTCCAACTGGGAGCTTAGCATTTCTCCCTGAGGATTTACTGAGGAATGGGGATTTTTTTTCCTGTGTGATTCTGTGTTCTACATATGCTTCCAAGGATGGTGACCAGCTCATTTTGGAGGTATAGCTGGCAGGAGTGCCACATTCACCTTTATCAAGTAATAGCTACCAAACCCTGGGTTAGTAGCACTTGAAATACTACTTGGTTCTCTGCATCACTGGAAAACGTGTGCCACTTAGAGAAAGGAGTATTGTGTATTAGGAAGTGAAATAATTGATTAGAATAAATAATGACCAAAACACATTTTTTCTTCAATTCCACATTTTTCAACTATTTTGCTTATTAAAAAAAAGAAGAGTAATTTTAGTCTGATCCTGACTTAAGTTGTCAGGATAATTTTCAGATCTAAACAATGAAAAATGCCAAACTTAATAATAGCCTCACTGTAACTCCAGGCTCATTGAGGTTGCCCAGTACATCCTCCTTGCTCTGCTGAAAACAGACCAACAACTGAAATGCTTTGAAATGCTTGTATTTTATTTTCCAATTAGGAAATCTAAATTTGCTTTTATGCTTCAGAATCCAAATCTGTAAACAATGACTAATGGCTAATATTGTTTACTGAAAACATTTTCACAGGAAGTTGCATGCTGATTGTTTTCTTTCCTCACACTTTAAAAAATGTCTGCTAGCTATGGTTTAATTATTGCTGCTTATTTTAAAAAAGAAAAGTTATGTTTTGGAAAAAAAGTACATAGATACATATGGTTTGGTGTTCCTCACCTATTGAGGCTGTCACAAAATGCAGCAAGGACATTGCTAGAGCTAAAATCCTTAGTATACAAAGGAAGAAAAAGAAAAAAAAATGCTCATCCTGTAACCTATACGGCCATGGGAAGGCATGTGGAGGAGAGATTCCTTTCTGTAGTGTGAAAATTGAAGATGCTCATTTTCTTTCCTCCGGCTCTTTGAAGACAGACAAATATCCAGGCAGTTTAAAGAAGAACTAAGAAACAAACTTCTGTGGTGGCCACTGTTTCCCTCCAGCACTTTCTATGGTGTGTGGTAAGGGAGTTGCTGAAGGACTTAGAGCAACTTCCCTTAAGCAAGAAAATGGAGATGCATCCCACTCTCTAGGAGTTACCTAGTCCCTGCCTTCTCTTCAGCTGGCACAGACCTTCTCCATTACATTCGAGTCTCTTCCTCTGAAATGTCAACAGAGGCATTTGCTTAAGTTAGAGCAAGAAAAAGTAGCAGAATTCTCTGGGATTCTGCAGTTTTACTGCATAGAGTTCTGTGTAGTATCCTGAGACATGTTTGTGTTCATAAGGATTGTTCTGGTGAAGGAAACAGGAGGCTAGCATTGCAGGTGAAGAGGACACTAGTGATTCAGAAGAACAAATTTGGAACTCAAGTTCTCAACTGCTGAATGCCATTTAATTGTTCCATGTCACTACTTGCTTCTATGCCATCAAACTCACAGGGAGCAATTCATCTTTTTAAAAATCATACAGCATTAAAATTGTTTTAACACCAAAATAGAATATTATAGTCTGCTAGAAACTGTCAATTTCTAGGCATTTTGCTTTGAACTTGCGAGTAAGAGAGGAATAAAATTACAGCAAGTTCAATTTTTCACATTATTTAAAAAATACATATAAAACTAAAATATTGTTGAACCCTTACATCTTAGTGGTTTCTTCAGTACAGTTACATATACAGTCATCCAGCATTTGACAAGAATTTGCCATGGAATTGAGTGAGAGCACTACAGCGAAACCCAGCTTTATTTACATTTGTCTGCAATACATGGCAGGTTTGAGGCTGTCACTAGCACAGAAGATGCGACAGTTTTCACAGTGGTGACTGATGTCTACATGTGTGGTTTCTGGGTTTTTATTTCTTTGTTTTTCCTTTAACTTGTAGAACCACATCACGGCCTTTGCAGAAGTCACATGATGTTGACGCTGAGGTATATTCACTCCATTGGACTTCATCTCTTTTCACAGCCCACTCACGATAATTGCAGTGTAACAAAATCAAGAAATTTTTAAAGTCCTCTTTCTGACTTGATTTTTACATCGTTAAAATGATACCTACATTTTGAAGATTTCTTAAATATTAGAACATCACTTTACTTTCTAGCAAAAATATTAACTGTTTACTTTTTGATGGAATGGGACGAACTAAGCACTAATTACCTTTATCTGACACTACCCTCTATTTTGGCTTCTTGTTGTTTTTTAATGGTTCGTGTACCTATTCCAGTAGTACTCCATACTTCGATTTGAAATTGATTTTTAAAATCTGCATTTTTAATTCAGCATGAATTTGTTTCCATTTGAGCAGTTTTAGTGTATAAAAACTAGAAAAAATATTACCTTCTGTATGAAAATGCTGTTTGCACATTGTATTACGCTGTATTCCATGTAAGATATCATTCAAACAATGTTATATGTAAAACTGGTGCTTCTGCTTTTGAAGAGAAAAAAAATGCCAATTTTTACTGTAATAAGTATTGTATCATAATTAAAAGTTTATTTATTTGGATATTTTCCTGACATAATTGTAGTTGAATTGTTTGATTTGTAGCTCTTGAATGTCTTGAATGATATATATGTATCTAGGTTAAAGAAATGAAAATTATATAGAAATTTTGATTATTGATATATTCTTTATTACTAACGCTATCCCATGAGAGGTTAAGGGCTCCATTCTTAGCTCAGCATATCTGATGGGAAGCCCTGCTATCACAGATCACTTAAACAAGTTACTGGAGGAGCCCTGCATCATCTCATATTTGTTATACACCCAGATGTTATGCTGGGAGAATGGAGTGCTAAGACAGGAAGAAGGTCACTGATATAGTGAGGAAAAGTGCATGTTTCTGTCCTCCTGTTGGAGCATTTATGAAAAATAAGCAATGGCTGCATTAATTTACTTCAACTGGAGTGACTGAGACAGGCAGAATTTATCTCTAGGAATCCTCTCTATCCCTGTTTCCTTTTCAGGGCCATGTTCTTGCAACAAATCCTCTGTCAGACTCTGCGTTGCTAACAGGATTTTTTCCTTCAAATTCGAATGGTGTTCTTATATTGCTGTTATCACTGTGAAAAATCAAATTGAACCTCCCCTTTAAAAGACAGCCTCACTTGACTATTCATAGTGAAGTATTGTAGATGCTGAAGATACTCTTAACTGCCAGAATGTTTTCCTCTGGCAACCACAGTTGTAACACTAGCACTATAGACAAATTTAAGATAGAGAAGTTCAGTGTGGTCCTTGAAAGGAGTACAGAATTCTAGGCCTTAAGTTTTCCATAATTCACTGCATTTCCTCTGCATTAGTCATTGGGAGAAGATATTTCAAACGTAACTGTAGAATTGGATGTATATTTTTCTATGTTGAATTTTATTGCGTTCCCGCATAGTTATCCGTGCATTTTCATTTTAACTTCTCTTTTCACTAAATGCAGCTACCTAAATATTGCTTGGAAAGCAGGGCAAAACCAAGTCTTCTTTGAGTGCAGTAGAGCAGTGTATCCCGTGAAGTCATCATACTAAGCTGAGAATTAGAGAATAAAGAAATGTATCAGCAGGGAAAAAAGTCGTAGAATAGAGCCCTTAGCTACAATGATGTTACTTAGGTGATTGAAAATCCACCTTTATTAGGCTACCAGTTGTGTTTACAAAATTGTAGTAGGTCCAAAGTTTGTATCACCATGTTAGGCACACATACCCTTCTCTTATTAGTATAGCTTTCTAGGGTCCAAGGTACTAATGATCTCTGTGTGTAGATTTGAAAGAAATTCTCACTCATTTTTGCATGGTAGCAAATTTACATTTTTTTTTTAATATCTGATTTATAAGATTACCAAGAGATTCTTTTATGTTAAAAGAGATGACTCTTTTCCACTGTACTGTATATCATTAACTTGTAACTGGTCTCTTTCTCTCTCAGGATCTTTCCCAGTCAAATATTTGGGTTAAATTTATCATTATCTCTGTGAACCAGCAGTGAGAAAACAAAGAGAGACACTCTGCTGTATAATGTATTTTTAAATAAAATAATTTTTCAATCATATGCAGTGTATTTATTTTAGATATCTGCTGTAGATATATGTTCATAGCATACATACAATGAAATGATGATTTTAAAGGACAGCTGCATTTGGTGATGTATTTTCATAATTAACAAGGAGTTCTCAGTTGCTTTCCCTTAAAGGTTGTTCTATGACACTGAAAAGCAGGAGTGAAAGAAGTGTCTTCTGCCTGTTGGTGAAGGACTCCCTCCAGGATGTGGACAGGTCAAGCTCCAGATCCTGCCTTGAGTGATTTGTAGAAGAGTAAGAGTTTACCTCTCCTGCTTTTGCAGTGGCTCCGCTGCCCTTGAGCTTGGGTGTTCACTCTTCCTTTCTGGACTTTCAATAGGAACAGTGTATCGAAATAAAAGTAAGTTGGTATTTTTTAACTAACATGGCTTTTTTATGGTTGCTTTTTAGAAAAATCCCAGTGAAGAAAACAACCATCATCCCTTGCTGTAATTAGATTCTAGCTCAAAGTTGTTTCCAGTAAAAATTTGGTATTTGAATTATTTCAGTGGGTTTGAGTGCATCTGTTTCTATGATCATTGTGGACCTTTTGTTTTTATGATCCCTATGAATCTTTCTATATGTGCTTCAGTTAAACAGTTCCACTCTATTTGTAAATAAGATAAGCATCTTTAATTCTATATGCTGCTGTGTTCCTAAAAGGGGAATTCATAAGGCATATGGGGACACCAGCTGGGCTCATATCCATACCATTTTAGATTCCCTTGTACGTATTCTGTTGTTTGTTCGTAATCATGAGCTGCGTAAGACATACGGCAATAGCATCTGGGCTCACATCTTTTCAGCTTTTAGAAATGTTCATTTTAACAATATGTATTAAAAGAGGATAATGTTGCTATTTTTCAGCTGCAATTTTCTCTGCTGTTTGCTATTGCTGTCTAATTTTGTTGCTGTCCAAAATCACGAGTGTGGCAGTCCATTTGCATGTTATGTTAGCAGGGAGCTTTTTATATTCTTCTGAAGTCTAATTTTGGTATTTCTGAGCCTTGCCACATTGAAAGAGAAGTGCAGTACATTTTAGAAACAGCCAACCTGAGTCTGTTTTGAGCAAATGCATCCCTTGCCATCTGCATTGCTTTGGCCTCAGGGATGCTCAGGAGTGTTTATAGGCAGGAGGGCTGAGGGCTGGGATGGGGGAGCAGGCCTCCTCAGCCCTTTTAGGTCCCTGAATCCTCTCTCAAGTGCACCGAGAGATCTGCCTTTGAGGTCAAAATCAGATCTGGCTTTAATTTGACCTGAGTGCCAGGTTTTCCTATCACACCCCAGCACCTGTCATCTCCCCTCAGGTACCTCTGGTACTGAAGGGAGGAGCTGGACAGATCAGGCAAGATAGCAGCCCTAACCTGAGATGCTATATGAGTGTGGCTGCAGCTGGAGCCGATGGCTGCCATTTTCTCTTGGACTGGCAGGACAAAAGGGTGGGAATCTGTCATGACTTCATCTCCTCAGGCCTTTCTCTAGTCCTTTTACCTTTCAGAGACTTCCACAAGGGAAAATAGTAAAGGAAACTTGGCAGATAGATTTGTCCTGTATTGTCCCCCTACGTGGATGAGTTCTAAGCCTCTTATTTTGCCAGAGAAGCTCTGCTGTTCTAATATCTTCCCCAGTAACTGAAGCCATGGTGTGCGGTAACCAGCTTCCTGAAGTGATCTCATCAGCAGAATAATCATCACAATGTTAAACAGTTTCTGGAGGCTTTTTTAGTAGGTGGGGTTTAAAGCACTGCCTGGTGCTTGGGATGGAACTGGATATAGCATTCTGGGATCACCTGTGAGGCCACTGAACCTGTCCTCTGAGACAGGGCTTCAGAAGAGCCCCCAGTAAGGACTACAGTCCCATAAACCAAATTCTGTGCATGTGTTCTCATTTGGCAACATGCAGATTTATATAAATAAAAATAAGAAACCAAACCCTTCTTCTGTCAAATCTCTCACTAAATAAGTGTTAGCATAAATACAAATTCTCTGTACCTATAGGGATCTCATGGTATTGCTATCTTTGATGTGGTTTTGAATGAGATTCTTGGACATTCAGGATTGATCTGAAGTAGGCAGGTATCCTTAAGAAAGAGAGTAATCATGTCTACAAGTGTTAAGTAAGAACTTAAAGAGCTATAAAATGAGAAAGGGATAAATTTCAGGAGCATGGAAAATGCCTTCTTATACTCATTAACAAATGTCAGGTAGATTTGCTGCATTTTTCTAATTAAAAATTAAATTTTGGCATTTCTACATTTTTGAAATACTGCAGTAGAGAAGTGCTATTCTTAGTGTACTCCTTCTGCTATTAAATTGTCTGCTGCTTCATTCTCTTTTGCTACTGTTTCTTAAAGCAGCAGTTACTACTCCTTCCTAGCAACCTCTATCTATGCAGTAGCAACTGACAACTTAAACATATCTATTCAAATATTCTAAAAATAGGTCTGATGCAATAAGAATGAAACAATCATTTAGGAAAACAAAACAAAAGCCCTTTTGACTCTCACTTGAGGCAGAGGGTTTGAAGCGAGTCTTAGCAGGAGTGCAGCAAGACCCTTGCCTTTTGACAGAACTTGCAAAGTTGCCAAGATATGGTGATAGATATTTTTGAGTTTAATACCCTGGTTTTTTTTGAGAAAACAGTATTAAGATGTAGTCTTGGAACATACAGTTTTCCAGAGACAAATAAAGAATGTCCTTATTTGCATTATATTTGTTCCACAGAGTCACACTCAAAGACAGTGAGACTGTGCAGAAGAAGAGGAATAGAAATGCTAAACAAACTATGTATTATCAATGGAGGGTGAGAGTTGTTCCACTCTGAGTCTTTTTTGGAAGTAAACCAAGTGAACAGGGACTTAGTATCAGCTGATAATGTGACAGTTCTGTTGCCCTGTGTATCCTATGGGAATATTTTCTACTTATAATGTATACATTTCTGTTAACTAACATTTTTTTAATGAGAACAAATACAAGATGTTTGATCTTCAGTTCTTTGTCAGATTAAGAGAAGCTGGTGCCCATGGCACTGGACACTAGGCTGCTTTTTATTTTCTGTCTGATGATGTGCTTTCACAACATATTTAAGATAAAAGGGCTGCAATCTGCTTTTTGAGTGGAATTTTTCTTCAGGAATCTGGATGCTGAAAGGAAGAGCCAGCCTTCCTTGAGCATCACAAGGTTTCATTCACCTACAAGGTTCTTTGTGGCATGCTTAATCTCAAGTGGTTTGATTTACAGACATAGCACTTCAG